GAAATGGACAAATTCTTAGAAACAGACAGTCTCCCTAGGCTCAGTCAGGAAGAAATAGACTTCCTGAACAGACCAATATCAAGTACCAAAATTAAGGCAGCAATAAAAAACCTTCCTAAAAAGAAAAGTCTTGAACCAGATGGTTTCACACCCAAATTTTACCAGATCTACAAAGAAGAACTGGCACCTATCCTACAGAAATTATTCCACAATACCTAGAAGAAAGGAATCTTCCCCAACATGTTTTATGAAGCCAACATCACCTTGATACCAAAACCAGAAAAGGACGCAACAAAAAAAGAAAACTACAGACCAATATCTCTTATGAATATAGATGCAAAAATTCTCAACAAAATCCTAGCAAAGTGTGTTCAGGTGCTTATTAAAAAAATAATCCATAACTACCAAGTGGACTTCCTCCCAGAAATGCAGGGATGGTTCAACATGCGCAAATCTATAAGTGTAATTCACCACATAAACAGAAGCAAAAACAAAGACCATATGATCCTCTCAATAGATGCAGAAAAAACATTTGACAAAATTCAGCACCTTTTTATGATAAGAATGCTTAACAAAATAGGCATAGACAGTACTTACCTAAAAATGATACAAGCTATATATGACAAATCCACAGCCAACATCATACCGACTGGGGAAAAATTGAGAGCATTCTCACTTACAATGGGAACCAGACAAGGTTGCCCTCTGTCACCACTTCTATTCTACTTAGTGCTGGAAGTCCTAGCCAGAGCAATCAGACAAGAGAAGGAAATCAAGGGCATCCAAATGGGGGCAGAAGAAGTCAAACTATCGCTCTTTGCTGATGATATGATCTTATATCTAGAAAACCCCAAAGATCCTGCCATGAGACTACTGGAATTGATAAACAAATTCAGCAAAGTCTCAGGTTACAAAATCAATGTACACAAATCAGTAGCATTCCTATATTCCTACAACAGTCAAACTGAGAACCAAATCAAAGACTCAATACCCTTCAGAATAGCAACAAAGAAAATAAAATACCTAGGAATATATTTAACTAAGGAGGTAAAAGACCTATGGGAGAACTATGAAACACTGAGCAAGGAAATAGCAGAGGACATTTGGACAGGTGGAAAACCATACTATGCTCATAGGTTGGCAGAATCAACATTGCTAAAACATCTATACTGCCCAAAGTGATCTACAAATTCAATTCAATCCTTATTAGATTACCAACATCATTTTTCACAGATGTAGAAAAAATAATTCTATGCTTTGTATGAAACCAGAGAAGACCCCATATAGCCAAAGCAATCTTAAGCGAAAAGAACAAATTGTGAGGCATCAATTTACCAGTCTTCAAGCTATAGTACAAGACTATAGTAACTAAAACAGCATGGTACTAGCACAAGAACAGAGACATAGACCGATGGAGCAGAGCTGAGAACCCAAGAATAAAACCATCCTCCTATAGCCATCTAATCTTTGACAATGCAGACAAAAACATACACTGGAGAAAAGAGGTCTTATTCAATAAATGGTTCTGGGAAAGATGGATAGCCACATGTAGAAGACTAAAGTAGGATCTGTACCTTTTGCCTCTGACAAAAATCAACTCATGGTGGATAACAGGCTTAAATCTAAGGCAAGAAACTATAAGAATTCTAGAAGAAAATGTTGGAAAAACTCTTATATTGGCCTACGCAAAGAATTTATGAAGAAGATCCCAAAGACAATGACAGCAACAACAAAAATAAATAAATGGGACCTGATCAAATTAAAAAGTTTCTGCACAGCTAAGTAAACTATCATGAGAGCAAACGGACAACCTACAGAATGGGAGAGTATATGTCTCATGTTACACATTTGATAAAGGGCTGATAACCAGAATCTATATAGAACTCAGGAAAATCAGCAAGAAAAAATCAAACAACCCTATCAAAAAGTGGGCAAAGGACAGGAACAGAAACTTTTCAAAGGAAGATAGACTAATATTCAACAAACATATGAAAAAATGCTCAACATCTCTAATCATCAGAGAAATGCACATCAAAACCACAATGAGATATCACTTAACTCCAGTAAGAATGGCTTTTTATCAAAAAGTGCCAAAACAATAAATGTTGGCATAAATGTTGGCGTGGCATAAATGTTACCCTGCTGGTGGGACTGCAAATTAGTATAACCTCTATGGAAAGTAATATGGAGATACTTCATAGAGATACAAATAGATCTACCATTTGAACCAGCAATCCCATTACTGGGCATCTACCCAAAAGAACAAAAGACATTCTATAGAAAAGACATCTGCACTCGAATGTTTATAGCAGCACAGTTCACAATTGCAAAGATATGGAAACAACCCAAGTGCCCATCAATACATGAGTGGATTAATAAAATATGGTATATGTATACTATGGAGTTCTACTCAGCCACAAAAAACAATGGTGAGATAGCACCTCTTCTATTATCCTGGATAGAGCTGGAACCCATTCTGCTAAGTGAAGTATCCCAAGAATGGAAAAATAAGCACCACATGTACCACCATCAAAGTGGTATTAACTGATCAAGACTTCTGTGCACATATAGCAATAACATTCATCAGGTGTCAGGCATGTCAGGGAGGGGGCAGGAGAGGAATGGGCATATTCACACCTAATGGGTGCGGTGCACACTGTCTGGGGGATGGACATGCTTGAATCTCTGACTCAGGTCGGGTAAAGGCAATATATGTAACCGAAACATTTGTACCCCTGTAATATGCTGAAATTAAAAAAAAATTAAGAAAATGAACATTTTGGATGGGGCACCTGCTGACTCCTTACTGTCTTTGTCCTATAGGTGAGGGTGAGGGACTTGGACTCAAGCCCTGGTCTGTCATTTCCCAGCAGGGTGCCCTTGGAAGTCACTAGGTCTCTCTGATCTTCTCTCCTCATGTGTCACAGGCAGCAAAGGCACGGCCTCCTAGCATTGACGGGGCGGAATATTGCCTAGAACGCAGCAAGTGCTCAATAAACACTGGCATTAAAGTGGCATTTTTGTGCGGTTAACTCCCAGGCTGGCAGGAAATGAGATGGCACTTTTGGTCTGGAGTTACAGTGAGGTCTTTCATCCCACCCTTCCCCAAGCCGCTCGGAAGATAGGGGCCTACTCCATAGACATAAAGCGTGGTGGTGGGCCCTGTGAGGGCTCTGGAATTTCTCCCTGTAATTTGTGAAGCTGGGGAGGTCAGTGTGGATAGAGAAGCAGCTCGAAGTTAATTTTCCCCACAACAATGAATATTTTACTGACCTCTGGCTCTGCTGACCTTGAACGAAACTGGAGAAAGCCATCTGAGGTTTGGTGCCGATTGAAAAGACAACTTGTTATGTTCTGATGGCAGCCGGGCCAAGGTGCCCGGAGGATGGGTGTACCGAGTGAGCGTGGAACCTTCTCTAATTCCATAGCCTGTGGAGCCCCTGTGGTGCTCATGTTTGAGAGACAGGGTGGCTGTTGCTAACACATAAAGATGCTTTGGAAGTTCTGTGAGTGGAGGAACTGCGTCTGACACCGACTGTCGTCGTGGGCTGCCCAGGTCTACATGGGCGGCCCAGGTCCACTCCCTGAGTCTCAGCTTCCTCTTCTGTGAAATGGCCAGGATAAGAAACTCCAGCTCAGGGATGTGGAAGGGTGACATGGGCACAGACAGCCATGCACCAAGTGCATGGCACCAAGTCACTTGGCCTGGCACCAAGTAACTGCTCTATCACTGTGAATGCAGGAGCAGCTATCAGGCAGGCTTGCGGCGAGTGGCTGGGGCTTGGTGTCCTGGTGAACCTTCCACTCACCAAGCTGGCAGCACAGGCTCTGGGATGCGCTGGGCTCGGCACTAGTAAATTAGCAGGCAGACTGTGACCTGAGTCTCAGAACAGCTGGTGGGGCAGGAGGACAGGGTTGAGTGGCCCTTGAGAATATGTGGTGGGTTCTTTCTCAGAGGAATCTGATGGTTTCTCTCCTTCTCCAGGTGATAGCACCTGGCATCATGGGCAGCAGGGAGCTCTAGAGGGCATTTGAGCAGGGACATTTCACCCTCCTTCTTCAAAGGCTTCTGGGCCCTTCGCTCTGCGTAGAATCTTTGCAAAGCCCTTGTCTTTTGTGTTCTTCCCCCAGATAACTCTGATCTCATTTTCTCCCTCTCCTGTCTTCCTTGCTCATCTGTTCCACCCATCCTGGTGCTGTTCCTTACACAAGACGAGCATGGCCCTACCTCAGGGCCCTTGCACTTGCTGTTCCTCTGGGCTGGACTTTGCCATTCCCAGACTACTCTGCTCCCTCACTTCACTCAGGTCTCTGCTCAAGTGTCACCTCTTCCAGAGCCCTCCCCCATCTAAAACAGCATGTCTTCCCCCATCACTTCCCTGCTCGGCTCCAGGACCATGGAGCACATGCTGTTCCCGCCCTGTCCCCATTGCCTAGAGCAGTGCCTGGTACACAGCAGGGCTCACCAAATATGTGTTGGGTTCATGAATGAGAGAATGAATAGATCCTTTACCTGCACAGAAAAACTTGGATCCAATTCCTGAGCATGGAGGCATTTTCCTACCCATCACTGCCCCCCTGGGGACAATGCCCCTGTTGGCTGTGGTTATGACGACCACAATGAGGATGAGAAATGGATGGCAGGTTGTAGTGTACGTTCGAGCTATCAGATGGAATTTGTCTAACACAGTGGTTAGCACATTGAAAATATGATAAATAGATTGTAAGTTTGAGATTCTAACCTAGGATTCCTTGTATACCCTCAACGATGGGCAGCCCTCTCCCTCTGAGGCAGCCCATTGCATTTAGGGGCTGCTCTAGGAAGCCACAGGAGGGAGAAAGGGGAAGGGTTTTGGCCAAAGCACAGTTTCTTCCTTCCTTAGGTTAAGAGCCTGAGTTTCCAGAGAGAGAGAGAGAAACCTCTGCTCTATGACTCACCCCTCTGTGGGCTGCAGAATCAAAGGGAATCCCACGGGCAAGGCTCTCCTGGTCTGCCATACCTGAATGAACGGGAAGAGGAGCCCAACGGCAAAGTTGGAGAGCCAGTTGACGGTGCCCGCAACGATGAAGGCAGCTGGTTGCTGCGACTGCTGGAAGAACTCGCTGGTCAAGATGAATGGAATGCCGCCTGCAACGTGAGAGCCAGGACTCGAATTAGTCACCCCGGAACCCCGGAAGGTCGTGCCTCCAACGCCCATCTCCATCTGCCACGCTTTAGAGCCACCACCCCCCCCCCCTTCCCGGCAGGGGAAGGCTCTCTTAGCAGGAGCCAGCCCTGCCTGTTTGAATGGCAGCTTTAGGAATAGGTGCTGGGGTTGGGTGGCCCTCAGCCCTTCAGTCCTAAATGTATACGATCCACTTCTCTGACATGGCCCATCCAAATGGGACACTCAGCATCCTCTTGGCTCTCCAAATGCTCTCGGAATCAATCTGTGGCCTGTCACAAATTGAATACTATAGGTATCAATTTAATACATAAGGCAACTGACATTTACTGAATATATTGTATTAGGAATGTTTATAATTTAATCTTCAGAATATCTGCCATATCCCTGGATGAGAACTTGCCTGGCCCACAGCCACCCAGCTCCTGAGTAGCACAGTCAGAACTCAGGCTTGGGGCTCTGGCTTCCAAATCTCAAGTTTTCTTCTGCTAATCCTTGCTTGAGAGAAGACAGAAGCCCCTGCCCAACTTGCTACCTTTTGTCCGCCCCCCACCCCCACCTCCCGTTTAACTGCCCTTGACTGGCTGTGTAGTGGACCCCCACAGCTGAGTGTCACTCAGTGGCGACATCCTTGGCATTGGGTTGTGACAGTTCTTTATCTGTCCTGTGCAACTGCAGGATGTTTATCACCCTTTGCCTTCTGGTGCCAAGAGTGCCCCAGTCACCATGGCAACCCAGACTACCTGCACACATTTCCCAGTGCATGCCTGGCAGAGAGTCCCTGAGATCAGCACCCTCCTCCTCCCCGTGTCCTGCTGGGTGAGATGGGGATTGTGCCCTGTGCCCAGACCCAGCACTTGGGGCTCAGCACAATGGCTGGGGTCCTGTTTGCACTGCCCATTTTCAACTAGAGTCACCGCTTTGTCAATTAGATCCCTACTCTGGAGCTTGCTGGGAGTGGGAGAGAGAAAACTCTAGGGAGATAACAAACAACCTGAAAATCACTGGTCTGGAGCCATTCATTCTGTCAACATTTAATAGCTATTAACTGGGCTGGGACTGGTCCAACAGTGGTGGTTGAGAGCAAGGACGTTCCTGCCTTCACGGGACTCCCTTGTCTGGTGGGGAGACAAGACAGCTTGCTCAGTGAGAAGGAACTGAGTGAGTGAGTGCGGATGTGGTAAGCGCCCTGGAGGAGCTGCAGAGGGAAATGGGGTCTATCTTAGCGGTGGATGGGAAGGGGTCTCGTGGGGGCGATGTGCATGGTGGGGACATAGCTGGAATAGGAGACGCGGCTTAAGCAGCTCTGGGGCGGATCATGCCAGTGGGGGTACTGGTGGGCAGAGGTCCTGCAGGTGGAAGGATTGGGTCCAGGTCTACCATGGGGGCCAGTCTGTCCCATCACCTGAAAGAGGCCGAGAGGAATGGAAGGAGGCGGCAAAGGTGAATGGGGAGCAATGAAACAGCCTCTTGCAGGTCAAGGAGAGGGGTCTCAACTGGCGAAAACCACTGAGGGCTTCTGTGCAGGGGTTGAGGTGGTTAATTTGCATTCATAGAGGTCACTGCTGTTTGCAGAAAGGCCTGGCGGGTGTTCGAGTGATGCATGAGATGCAGGTGCAGTCCAGGGAGGAGGCGATAGCTGTGTAGGAGGCTCAGATCCTGGCAGCAGGGATGGGAGGAAAGAGCCAAATTTGCAGACACCCCACCCCATGGAAGTAAAGCTTTCCATGGAAGCACTGTATTCAGCATTGAGTCGACCCAACCAAGCAAGCCAGGGGCACAGAGCCACAAAGCCAGGACCAACTCAAGCCTGTCTCTCTCCAGAGCTTTCACTACTGTCACCCCACTCTGCCACCAGCAAGCTTTGGACTCCAACAAATCAAACATGGCTCATATTTGTCTTTATGTGTTTGGTTTATTTCACTTAACATAATGTTCCAGGTCCATTCATGTTGTTGCAAATGGCAGGATTTCATCCTTTTTGTGACTATATAATATTCCATTGTGTATATACCACAATTTCTCTATCCATTAATCTGTTGATGGGCACTTATGGTTAGAACTGGAGAACATTATGTTAAGTAAAATAAGCCAAACACGGAAAGATAAATCTTGCATGTTCTCATTCACATGTGGGAACTAAATATTAAAACAATTGATCTCATGGAGACAGGGAGTAGAATCATGGTTATCAGAGGCTGGGAAGGGTAGCGGGGAAGGAGGATAAAGTGAGGATGATTAATGGGTACAAAAATGCAGTTAGATATTTAGACAGAGTGAACAATATTTGATAGCACAACAAAGTGACTAACAATAATTAACAATAAGTTAGGGTATACTTTAAAGTAACTAAAAGAGTAGAATTGGAATGTTCCTAAGACAAAGAAATGATAAATGCCTGAGGTGATGGGTACCCCAATTACCCTGATTTGATTAGTTCACATTGTATGCCTGTATCAAAACATCATATATGTCCTATAAATACATACAACTATTATGTACCCATAATAATTTAAAAAATATACATTTTTAAAAATGGCTCAGAATGGAGCCTTACTGTCCCCTAGAATGTGAGCCCTCAGAGGTGGTGCTGTCTCCTGGCACTCTTGACAGAGAGTAGATTCTCCATCAATACTTACATAAATGCTCAAGATTTGATTTAGACAGGACTTGATATGCTGTTTACTACAAAGAAAGTGAATGCTGTATCTTAAAGGTATGATATTTATGGATGGAACTGTAGAACATTGGTAAGTGAAATGTGTGAGAACAATGGTTACACACCGGAATGTAATAAAACCAGCCTTTGGGTCCATAGAATGCAGAATATCTCATTGTCTGACAGTGTTTGTGTCACACACACAGATGGTCCTGCAGCTAACACTCCTGGGAACCTCATGGCATGTCCTAGAAGGGTCAGTTTACAGCTATTTTGTAGGTTGAAGGCTGAACAGGGTTGGGAGCTGGTGTTTCACTTTCCCTGACATCCCTACGGATATTTCTGGAAGCTCCTGGGGATAACTCAGCACTTCCAATGCTGGTACATTGACATGTGGTACCTCAACTTACAATGAGTAGAACATTGACAGATCTGCCTCCCTGCATGTCTGTTTGTCTATCCAGGGCTGGGGACATGACTTGTTTTTTGTTTAAGACTCTGCTCCTAGCACAGTGATGAGCACATGTTCTGCTGTCTTTACGGTAAAATCTGAATGTTCTCCCAAATTCTGGAATTTGTCTCTCTTTTCTGAAGGCATTGGTAGCCTGATTTCATAAGAGTCTCTCAGGGTCTATCTTTCAAGTTCAGGATAAAATGAGAAAGAATAGGGTTAGATATGCAAACAAAATGGATTTCTGGAAGACCCTTTATTTTTGTTTTGTTTTTAAAAATGAAAATATTTTTATTATTTTTCTTGATTATCACGAATAATATTTGCTTATTTACAACAAAGAAAGCATATAACAGGACAACATGGAAAAGTATAAAAAAGGAAACAAAACCCACCCCTAAACCTTCCACCCAGAGATGACCTCCATCTATATTTGGTACTTGGCGCTGACATTGAATGCTCTGTGAAGAAGGTTGGGGTTAGGAGGCTATTCCTCCTTTAGGTGATTGGCTTTTTATACCTAAAGGCCTGAGGAACTCTTTGCTTAGCCTTGAAATTCATTAACTTAACTATGAAATTATTTGGTGCTGATCTTCCCATAATGATTTTTCATAGAACATAGCATGTCCCTTTGAATTGCACTATTCTTTACAGTTTTAGAAAAAATAATTCTATACTTCATCTGGAACCAGAGAAGACCTTGTATAGCCAAAGCAATTCTAAGCAAAAAGAATAAATTGGGAGGCATCAGTATGCCAGACTTCAAACTTTACTACAAAACTATAGTAACCAAAACAGCATAGTACTGGCACAAGAACAGAGATATAGACCTTTGGAATAGGACAGAGAGCCCAGATACAAAATCATCCTCCTATTGTCATATAATCTTGACAAAGCAGACAAAAATATACATTGGGGAAAAGAATCACTATTCAGTAAGTGTGCTGGCAAAATTGGATATCCACATTCTGAAGATTGAAACTAGACATCCACCTCTCACCTCTCACAAAAATCAACTCATGATGGATAATAGACTTAACCCTCAGGTGTGAAACCTTAAGAATTCTGGAAGAAAATGTTGGGAAGACGCTTTTAGACATGGGCCTAGGCAAATAAAAAATTTATGAAGAAGACCCCCAAAGCAATCACAGAAACAAAAATAAACAAATAGGACCTGATCAAATTAAAAAGCTTCTGCACAGCCAAGGAACTATCACTAGAACAAATAGACAACCTACAGAACAGGAGAATTTACTTGCTTTCTACACATCTGTTAAAGGGCTGGTAACAAGAATCTACATAGAAATTAAGGAAATCAACAAGAAAAAAATCAACCAACCCCTCAATAAATGGGCAAAGGACAGGACCAGAAACTTTTCAAAAGAAGACAGATTAATGGCCAGCAAACATATAAAAAAATGCTCAGTATCTCTAATCATTAGGGAGATGCAAATCAAAACCACAATGAAATATCACCTAACTCCAGTGAGATGGCTCTTATCAAAAAGTTCCAAAACAACAAATGCTGGTGTGGATGTGGAGAGATAGGAACACTCTTACACTCCTGGTGGGACTGCAAATTAGTACAACACCTGTGGAAAGTAATTTGGAGATACCTCAAAGAGCTAAAAATAGAAATCCCATTTGATCCAAGCAATCCCACCACTAGGCATCTATCCAAAGGAAAAAAAGACATTCTATAATAAAGACATCTGCAATTGAATGTTTATGGCAGCACAATTCACAATTACAAAGATATGCAAACAATCCAAGTGCCCATCAATACATGAGTGGATTAATAAAATGTGGTGTATGTATACCATGGGGTACTACTCAGCCACAGAAAACAATGG